AAATTTTTCCACTACCAAAATTATTGCTATTTCCCTTTTGTAAGTTTTTGTTTCTCTTTAATGAAATACATTTTATCAGTTGAAAATTTAAGGAATAATACTTAAAGTTACTGTAATGTTTTAAGTTTATTAAAGTATTAAGGAGACAGACACCACATATCCGATACTTTTTGAAGCTGAAAAACTAGAGATTAAATGGAATCAATATAAGTGTTATATTAATGTAGATATTTATTTATCTTATTATTTTCTTTTCAGCAAAATAGCTTATATTCATTATGATTAGAGTAAACAACAAGAAATCTCCCTTCACTCAACGTAGAGTTTTAATTTGTCAAAAAGAATGCAATAGTCAAAGAGTTTTTGAAGGTGAGACAGGTAGACTTAAGAATGGTCCTAGGCTGGGTAACTGGACATATGGAATGCATCTCAGCATGAGCTTTGCCTGAGCTTAATGGAATATGCAACTCAACCGTCGCCTGAAGGAGTGTGACAGTATATTCAACCTCACTTAGTTTGACTGCAGCACACTAACACTTTTGCTTCTTTTCTTACATCATACTGTAGGTTCTCATAATGTAAGTCTTTACTTGCTTAGAACTGGTTATCATAGCCTCTGTTAGCCTGTATCGATATGTAACCTTTGGAACATCGTTGGGATCATCAAGCTAACCTTTTAGTGAACTGGTATACGCTGATTATAGTAAGATACTCAACTTCACAATTCTAATGTTCAGCTATTTCTCTATTTAGACAGTAGATTCTTGCTGGAAAGAGAGTTTACATCAGGAGAATTTATCATTAAGAGAACAACTTTTTTTTTTAAATTAAACTGCTGAGCTTTCTTTTGAATGTGATCATTTAAAGCAAGAATTAACTGAACTTTCTTCTCTTTCAAATCATTAAGAAAATAGATTACATCATATTTAAGATCATATTAATAGCTTAAAGAAGAATTGCGTATATTTCAAGAAAAAGGTTGCTAAGGAGATCAAATTAAAATTCAAGAGTTAAGCAAATCAGTAGAGCAACTCTAGCGTAATTATCAGCATATTCTTAGTTCAGTATATGCAAATAATTAGAAATAAATCTTTTTTTATTTCTCCAATAAAATTTAAAATATGATTGTTAAACATTTATTATTTCACGTGATATAAATATAAATATAAAATAAAAAATAAATAAAAAATTTTTACGTAATCAAAAATTTTATTGTAAATTAAATTTTATTAAAAATAATTTATAATATATCTATCAAAGCATTTCACATTCTCTCTCTATCTAAAATATATTTGTTATTACCTATGTTAAAAAATCCTACGCATCTATCGATTTCAATGACTTCAATAAATTGATACTACTAAAATGTGTAAAATATATTTGTCAATAATTATCTGTATTATAATTAAGTTTACGCACATATGCAAACAAACAATCTTATTCAATATATTTATGTGCAATATAATATTCTACTTCACTATGAATTTCCTCAATTTCAAGTATTTGAGAAGCATTATGATGATGAGCATTTTTGTTAGCTACTGAGTAATTCATAACTCCACCACTGAAGACTGGCTGATACGAAGTTACAGCTTCTTCTAAGTATTTAAGGATATAAGAAAAGTTCTCACCGCTGAATACTGGCTGACACAGAAACTTCAGCATAATTACACACTCCACTGTATAAAAAATTTGACTGTCACCGCTTTGTAAACTCTCCACTTTTTTTATTACAGGTTTAATAGCCAATCAAAATGTTTGATGGTCATTTAGTACCTCTTTTTACTATATAAAATTGCATCTAACACATCGCCTCACCCAAAAAACACCCTTAATTATCTATAATTAGTAAAGAAATATGAAGGCGTGTCTAACCAATTGTAGCAAAAATTAAACTATTAAATAAGTTAATATAAGTCATTTGGTGACTTAATTGATCAACCTCAAAATTTTAGAGACTTTCTCTATTGGCTAATAGTCTACTTTAAAGTCCTAAATTTCTCAAAACTTTCTATTCTCAAACATGTTCATGACACTAAAATCAAATATTAACTTATGTTTTTTAGCGTCTAATGAGTTAAGTGTACATGATTATTTCAAGAAAGTATATGCCTAGGATTGGAGGTTAAAAATTACCTAAACTATCATTTAAAAATCAAAAACAAAATTCCAACCTGATCTAATATTATTAATATTTGGATTGAGTCTCTTAAGTTATGTCAAAGTACAATCATAAAAAAGTTCTGACTAATATAGTTTCTTTTTATAAAGAATTAAGAATTTCAAAACTTTTGAAGGAGAGAGTATTATAGAACGATGTGTGGTATGGTATAATAGTTTTTATGAGCATTGCTATGATCTAAAACTCACTGAGAGGGTCTAACATATAGAAGAAAAAATATGCTCTTCCCAAAAAATAATATATTTGTCACAAAAATTATCAAAGCTATTAGAAGGGATGATAATTATTAAAAAAAAGAGATTACAGAATGACGACAATGAAAATGAGGCAGGTCTGTCAAATGGAAAACGTAGTCAGCATGAGGTATATAAACTTAATACATTGTTTGATATGATATTGAGCATCAATGCCATTTTGTTTTCTAACTTACCTTTATTACACTATTAGGATTCATCATATGGAAATACAAGAGCATACTTAGAAAATATGAATAAGAAACTGGAATCATATTGCCATCTTATGAAAAATCATTTCAAAAGATTACAAAGGAAAGAAAATGATGCTTATCTTTGAACAGGAATATGAAAGATGTTCTCTATGCATACACATTAAAATTGGAAATTGAGAAACTGGCTCATTCATTCATAGTCGATACATCAGATGATAACATCAAGAATTCATTTAACGAAACTGAGTGGGAGGAAATTATGAACATTAATAAGAAAGCTGTACCAGCCATTGACAAGAATATTGGGATGCATTTGATAAGTTACAAAAAAAACCCTCAGAAATGCGAGCACATGTTATAAAATTGTGGTTAAATACAATATATAACATAAATGATCATTTTGATCTTCAATACATTCATATGGATTTTTCACATTTAGTAGATGAATATGAGTCTCCAAAAAATCAATTAATGCAACCGCATGTAGAAGGATGATATACAGTCAACATTTGGGATATATTGTTTGATAAAGCATTCTTAAATATTCCCAATATAGATCTTGTCCATGAAGAAATATGTAGTGTTACATCAAGCAACCAAAGAAATGGTAATGAGATGTATAGGGTGAAAGGCAATAGAAAAGCAATGGGACATTGAATTGATAGCATTATTCAAAACATATTCAACAATTATAAATATGAAGGAATTGAAGTCGCTAAAACATGCTAAGAACCACATGATAGAAAACAGTTAAGTGTAAAGATGGTTCCCATAATTAATTTTAAAATTTTTAACAAGTTGCAACTTAAGTTGCAACATTTTGAGTTACAAATATTTATGAATTTTTATATTAAAATAAATTTACAAGAAGTTGCAATTTACCGAGTTGTAACTTCTTAATTATAGTATCTATCTTTAGTTAAGTGATTCATTAAAACTAATGAAACTCTTTAAAGACATATTTCATTAACAAATAAATGTTGTTAATTATAATGAAGATATAGTCAAAAATTAGAAATTGTCAGCCTGTTGCACTCGCGCCTTCAATTGCAACAGTTTATGATGAATTTTGAAGGTGGTTCTTGTTTACAGCTTAAAAAAAAAACAATGAGAAATATTTCTTTGCATCTGGATGATGTAATGGAGCTCATCTATATAATTGCATCTGTTTTTCGGGCTAAATTGCAAATTCAACGTTGTATTAAAGTGAAAAAAGATGAATCAGATGACGAATTATTTTTACAAGAAATCACACAACCTCCTTCATGTCCTTTCATACCACCCAATACTGTATATCTTGCAAAAATAACAAAGACTCTAATAAAAGACAAGTGACTAACATGATATATTCTGTATACATATTCTGCATAGATAATAAAAATATATGCTACGATTTGATGTATTATATGCAATTTTAATAAAGTATTCCTATTTTTCATTTGTAATCAATAATCTGCTTACATAGTTAAAGTGTATAGAAAAATAGCACCTTTAGTATTTTCTTTTATTAAATAAATATTATAAAAAATACTCAATGCAAAATCCCATTATGAAAAATAATGCATACATGTAATCATAGAGCATTTAAAATTTCAAGTTTATTCAATAAAACCTAATTCCCAAAGATAACTGTATATGGTCTTCGTAATACTAAACATATTTTAAAACAATCAAGCTTCTCAAAATCTTCCTTATTCTTGTTAAAATATTTTATATGTTGCTTATGTTGTTTGCTCTGTACCTCTATAGCAAATCTATACTGTGAATAGTAGATGTCAAGTTCTAGTCCTCGAGGATGTTCAGCTATTTTCAAGAAATCTGATCAGCAGATGCTGGAAGGTGGGCTAAGAATGTTAGTTATAACTTCACAACACAGATTTTTATGCTTATTTAAGCAATATGGACATCAAGATTTAACATGCTTATACTATTAAAACTAGCAAAACATTTATGACCTTTATTATACATCTATTGCATCAGAATACAGAGATTTAGAGATTTATATATTCTTTAGAAAGACACATACCTCCTCTATTATGAGTGATTTTCTTAGCTTCTGAAAGACTACAAGGAAATTACCAGCATATTGTAAGTATCATCTCCCCATATTTTTTTATTTGATAAAGAGTTGTAGACCATTCATGACCTTTGGCACATCTTCAAAGCATTTGAGTATTTGCATTAACATATTCTGTAGAAAGGCACTTACCACCTCGTTCTTATACAATACTATTTGCTATATCAATAAGTTGATGTATAACATGATTGTGTCTTTGTATCGGGATAGGTTTTTTATCTGGTATATGATTTTGACTCTAAAGCCTTCCACTTATATCCTTCTTTATACTGCCATTCAAGAGAATCCTATCTATTAATATACTCAATTGTAAGGCAAAAGTCTTCTTTCTTTTCTGCAAACTTTTTCATATCTTCAATTGTTTGAGTATGAGATTTTTAACTGCGTACTGTGTATATACTACTAAGTCTTGCAGACCATAAATGATCCTTAGCACATTTCCAAAATATTGGCATTTGACAATTGATATAACTTTCAAAGATGCAAAAGATGCATTTATCTCCTTTACTATATGCAATTTCTTTAGCAATATTTAAAGTTAATTTTACCATTAATATTTTATACTAAATTTTCAAAAGGTTTGCGCAATTCCTCCCTTCTATTCCAATATCCTTTATTAGTTTCATTTTTTACTTAGCTGACCAGTCCTTTCTCATGTATTACTTAATAAAAATATAATAAAGATTTTACCTTGAGCTTTTTCACGTATTGTGAATTTTATAAGTGATAATATATTTTTTTTATAATCTACTACATCGTATTAACAAGCTATAAAAAAATATAAAATTTACTAAACCATTAAAAATACTATTCTATACTAACAAAAAAAATCTTATTCCTGTTGCTTGTTTGACCTTCCACCATAATTGATGGTAACATTAATAACATTAATCACATTTGCATTTTGCGAAAAAAAAGGGATAATAAGAGTTATGGATCTGAAGATATTAGAGTTTCAATAATTGATATTATCGGCTTTGATGTTGCAAGTGATAATGATTTAGAAGTTCCTTTGACAGCTCTTTCCAATAGTTGCTCAGAACAAGATTTTCCTTTGAGTCATTCAGGTGAGATTTGAAGAGGATGATACCTCAGGAGAACTCATACTACTTGACCTAACATTATTTTCATTATGTTCCTACTCAAATGGAAATTCTAGCATGATAGATAGAATCGTGTTAATTTAGAGATAATCACTCACTTATTTTCTCCCAAAATATATACCTGGATTTAGCCAAAACTCACTAGAAAACTCTTCATAAATCTTTTCGCCAACTAAACTTCTTTTAGTTCCAGTACCTTCTTTATATTTTCCCATTTATTAATCTTATTAGCAATGTCGTCTCAGAAAAGTCATTTCTTCTTATTCAGAGTAAGGTTGAATTCAGCATTTCTCTATTTTCATTCATTAATGAGAAAGTGGATATGTACATCATTCTTCTCGATAGAAGACATAATTTCACATGATGAGAAGAATTCTAGAGAATGAGTGCTTATTTATAAAGAAATATCTAATGATGTAAACAACGAGTATGATAAATATATAATGATTAGTTTGAATGATAATAGTAGCTTAGTTACCTTTTATCTGATTAGCCGATCATCTCATGATTTTAGTGACTAGCTAATGTTAAAGAAGTATCTGAGAACTATTGTAGAACTGACAGGAAGTTAGAATGATTTCTGTGATATGATATACGTCATACTCCTCTGATTAGTGATACCTAACGAAATTACCTTTCTTAATATAACGAAATTGATGAAACTAAAATGATGAAACTAGTTTTTATTAATGACAAAATTATTTTACTTAATTGCTGAAATTATATTTAACTTGATCTAAATTTCTTGA